ATTATTTTTTAATTTTATAATGTGTTGGATGCTTGAAAGATGCACTTACACGGGAATATTGCAGAATGCAAAACACAATCATTGAGTCTTGTAGTTATCACTTATCTAGGATATAACCTTTTTTTGCACGTCTTTTCGGCCTTACACAATTTCCTTTTTGGTAATTGATTAGTCCTTTTTGCAGTAACTACACTGTAAAAAAAGTTTAGCATTTGGGGTACTAACGGCTGCTATTCGTAGCACCTTTTAGCGTCAAAAGAACCCTACGACGTATTTACAAAGAAGCATGGTGCTAATACTGTGCTAATGATAGCTAACATTCCCATCAAATATTATAAGTTTAGATCACCTATTCTTCTACTGAGCTTAACGTCTACTTCTGCTAGTACCCAGTCCATCAGTGAGTGCTCTTTCAAGCTGGATTTCTAATTAGAACCATTTTAAGTGTTTTAGAAGTTGGTAATGCTGAATATGGTGCTTACGTTAGTATCACAATAGAACCGGACATGCTTACAGAGGAAACAAATTTGAAATTGGCGCCAAAGAAAGTAGCTAAGCCCTGCTTTACAAATCTCTGGGAGTCTTATCACCAGCCCTTTAGCACGTTTTGACGGCGCAGAGCGATATGCGCATGCGCGTGCCAGCTGTTTCCGGCCACGTGTTGCGCCATTTTAGTGGAGTCCGTTGGTCGTGGTGGGAGTGTGTGCACGTGCTCCGGTATATGAAGTGAAATGAAGTGAAGTGAAGTGCTCCGGGCACATGCCACCGAGTGATAGCTCTGGAATGATAGCTTAAATCAGCTATTATCGGTGGAATCCGTCGTGCGTGGCATGGGAGTGCGTGCCCCTGCTCCGGGAGGCAGTGAGGTGGAGGGAAGTGCAGTGCAGCAGTGCAGTGAAGTGAAGTGAAGTGCTCCGGGGCCGGGTGGTACATGAGCATTTGCCACCGACACATGCCACCGACGCCGACGTTGATCGACTTTGGTGAGTCTGACACGTTGTATCTTTTGACATTATCTTATATTGTTTAAGTGCTTCATATTCCGACTTTGGCAAATCGCGCTTCTTGGTCTGAAAGAAAGTTGTGTTGTTTGCGAAAATAGCTCCCAACAGAAAAAAAATCTTGGAACTGATCCAGTTTTTTTTTTTGCTCCAGGCATGGGGCCTGGTCAGTTCTTCCGTCGACTACCACTTACAATGGAGGACAACTACGACAACAACACGGGGTCTCCGGTTCCGTCTATCACTAAACGCCGTCTGGTCGTGGATGAGGTCGAACTTATGGCCATGAACGGAACGTCGGTTCAACGACCCCCCCCCCCCCGCCTCCCCCAGTCGTTCTCGCGTTAATCGTCGGTCACTGCGAGTGTGCAGGCATATGAGCGACCTTTCGTTATTTTCCGTGCGTTTGTTTGTGTATATATTTACATTTGTTTTGCATGCAGATGATATGAAGTGTTAATAAATGTTCCATTATTATTTTTTAATTTTATAATGTGTTGGATGCTTGAAAGATGCACTTACACGGGAATTTGCAGAATGCAAAACACAATCATTGAGACTTGCTAGTTATCACTATTCACTTATCTAGGATATAACCTTTTTTGCACGTCTTTTCGGCCTTACACAATTTCCTTTTTGGTAATTGATTAGTTTTTTTTTGCAGTAACTAGTGAAAATATAAGCTGCTAAAGAAAGCAGTTTTTACGAACTTTTCATGCAGCAGCTTTAACTAGTATAGATATTCTACTTTCAGCCCCAATGCTTTCGTTAGCATTATTCTACTTGTCGTGGGGAAACAATAGCGCTAAAACGGTTCATATGTGAGTACGGAAGGTACTAACTGCATGCTATTCTTAGCACCTTTTAAAGTTTAGCACCGCTAGGGTACTGAAAATTGGTCTAGCAGGTGTAGGGTACTACATTTAGTACACGGGTGCTAAACAAATATGGGTACTTATATTAGCACCTTGATACTAAACCAGATCTCAGTTAAGTACGAATAAAATGCTTAGCTTAGCACCGCTAGGGTACTGAAAATTAGTCAATTGAAAAGTACCTCTATGGTGCTAAACTTTTTTTACAGTGTAGTGAAAGTATGTGCTGCTAAAGAAAGCAGTTTTTGCGAACTTTTCATGCAGCAGCTTTAACTAGTATAGATATTCTACTTTCAGCCCCAATGCTTTCGTTAGCATTATTCTACTTGTCGTGGGGTAACAATAGCGCTAAAACGGTTCATGTGTGTGTACGGAAGGTACTAACTGCATGCTATTCTTAGCACCTTTTAAAGTTTAGCACCGCTAGGGTACTGAAAATTGGTCTAGCAGGTGTAGGGTACTACATTTAGTACACGGGTGCTAAACAAATATGGGTACTTATATTAGCACCTTGATACTAAACTAGATCTCAGTTAAGTACGAATAAAATGCTTAGCTTAGCACCGCTAGGGTACTGAAAATTAGTCAAATGAAAAGTACCTCTAGGGTGCTAAACTTTTTTTACAGTGCAGTTAACCCGCTTCGAGTCAGTGCTTGGGTCCCTTTGCGGGCCGGGAGGTGGTAAAACGGGAGGTGGTCTAACTCGGCTCCTGGGCCAGGCACTGATTGAACTGTGCTTCATTATCGCTTGGGGGAGGGGGCAAACGGGCCACTTTAGGCCTCTGGGAAGGGGGCATGGCCCTAAATGCCCCCTCCCTGGATCCGCCAGTGTAAGAGACCATTGGAGCTGCAGTTGAGTACCTCAGACGTCAGGGTACGTCCTCAGATGTATAGGACTCGCATGGAGACCTCTTATGCTATAGTGGACTGAAAGGACCCAAAGGAGCCTGTCTAGGGCTCCCGGAGATAGACGTGGGCCCTCAGGAGCCCGCCAGAGCCCCCAATGAGGGCTAAGTGAGGGATACCAAGTGCCTGCAATTGCATATTGCATAAGCCATAACGCCATTACAAATCAATATGATATGTACCAGTGGCAGATCCAAGGGGGGCCACATGGGTCATGACCCCCCTTGGTGCCCTTGGTGCCCGGGGGCACCACAGGCCTGTCAGGGGCACCACCGGCCTAGCAGGGGCACTACCAGCCCGCCAGGGGCACCACAGGCCTAACAAGGGCACCACGGGCCTGTGAGGGGCCCACAGGCTAGGCTTGTCAGGGGCACCCCAGGTCTGTCAGGGACACCAGAGACCTGCCAGGGGCGCCGCCGGCCTTGCAGGGGCACCATAGGCCTGTCAGGGGCACCAGAGGCCTAGCAGGTGTACCACAGGCCTTACAGGGGCACCTTGGGCCTGTCAGGGGCACCACAGTCCTGTCAGGGCCCAGGGGCACCAGCGGCCTAGCAGGGGCACCACAGGCCTGCCAGGGGCACCACCGGTCTAGCAGGGGCACCACCGGCCTCGCAGGGGCACCATGGGCCTGTCAGGGGCCCCACCGACCTCGCAGGGGCACCACCGGCCTCGCAGGCATCACGGCATCACGCAGGGGCACCTTGGGCCTGTCGGGGGCATCACGGGCCTGTTGGGGGCACTTTAGGCTTGTCAGGGGCACCACAGTCCTGTCAGGTCCCAGGGGCATCAGCAGCCTAGCAGGGGCACCCTAGGCCCGCCAGAGGCACCACAGGCCTGCCAGGGTCCAGGGGCACCACAGACCTACCAAGGGCACCACGGGTCTGTCAGGGGCACCTCAGGCTCCCGTGCCCCCCCCCCCCCCGGATCCGCCAGTGATGCCACACCACGCGAAACACCGCCAACTCCGAGCTACCGCGCCATAAACACGTGCCAACAAGTCTTTTTTGAAGGTCGACTCCACTCGCGCAACTTTTGACTGACCCTCACTGCTACCATATTGCTTCCATATTATGCTGTGGAAAGCTTTACTTCACCAAGTGGCTAAAAACCTCCATCAAGGTATATTTTCTTAGCAATTTTTCTTACGTTTTGGGGGGGGGGGCCAAACAGGCCACTTTAGGCCTTTGGGGGGGGCCATGGCCCCCGTGGCCCCCCCCCCCTGGATCCGCCAGTGAACATGACCTTTTCTGGTCAGGTCATGACCTTGACCTGAGGTCAAATTTTCAAGTTGACCTTTCAAGGTCAAACAATAGTTCATTCGACGCATCTCGGCGAGAGGAACACGATTCTGGCAGTAGAAATGTCGTGGCTTTTTGTAGTCGAAAGTTATTGTCAAAAAACCACTTTTCATAAAAACAGCAATTTTTGAAGTTTTTGCCCTCTGGAGGCTAAACCGTTGACCTGAGGTCAATTTTGATAATAACCTTATCAAAAGAAGAAATCAAAAGCTATCGATTGTTTTTCCATGCGTTTTTCTAGCTACCTTAGTTCTTGAGATAACGTCATGTTTTCTGAAAACATAATGACAATTGGCAAATTTTGACCTTTGATGACCTATGGTGACCCAAATATTGCTCCAAGATGAAAAATGACCGAAATACTTTCAAACGCACGCATTGAGAGCTATGGACTGCTTTTACCGCGTCTTTCTAGCCCTCTTAGTTTTTTAGTTAGAGGTGGGTGGTAACATATGCCCCCCCCCCCCCCCCCACTAGGGCGAAGTTGGCTGAGACCGGCACTGGGGCGCGGGTTAACTTCCAACACAGCTGCGTCGGAACGAGAGAGGGCAGTGTTGGGCGGAAATGTGTTGCAACCCTTTCCGTGTTACTGTAGAAACATTTTTGCCTCATTTTCTCATTTTTGTTCATATTTTAATTACCTAGCCGGTGGATTGGCTGCGAGGCACAATGCATATTACACACAATCCAGAATTGGATCTTAGCAGGATAGTGAAGGATTATGAAGCGACGGGAAGCGAGTGACAAGCCTCGACTCACACAACCAGTGTTCAATTAGAGACGTGTAAACGTCGCCAAACTAGCTCGAGCGGATATAAAGCGAGCGGATGTATAGCGAGCGGATGCATAGCGAGCGGATATACATGCATGTCGGCTCGAAAAGGACCCAAATGAGCTGTTTTAATTCTATTCGTTTGCAGGACTGTTTGGATCTACTCGAAGCAAATTCATTCTACTTGCCATTGTAATTGGCGTGGGTCACCTTCTGGTGTACAACACATCTTGCGAAACATGTAACTCCCTGCTTACTTCGTTCCGCAACAAGACGGTGAGTGTGGCAGGAATGGTCAATTTGAAACTACTTGATGTATAATGTATGCAAATGACTTTTTTTAGGCAGTGGATGTTGATTTTAATCAGTTGTAATAAAACTGTCTGTCAGGTCAGTTTTGTATTTCAATTGTTGGGTAATATGTACTTGCGGTGCCACCAAGGTTGAAGCCTTCTCAAGCAGTTAAAGGTGAAAGCAAGCCAGAAGTATCTCAGATTGGTATCACTCGTGTTTGGCTCTCGTGCCATTATTTTTCCGAAATACGGGTTCATGGAAAAACTGGAAGTAGGCAAGGCCGGGCAAGGCGATATATAGTAGGCATAGTAGAAGAGAAGTAGGTAGAAGCATGGGATAGAAGTGATTTTTGTGTAACATGTAACCATTGACTTTCGGAAGTAAATAGATAATCCTTGAATTGGAAGATAATTTGGAACTTTGCTTCGGGCACCAATAAGCAGTAGAAAAATGCTGTTCTAACGAAGTGTTTGTTTGGCTATTGAACACAAACCTTCGACTATGCGTTTCAAAGATAAGAAAACGCAAAAGTTAATAAATTCAGTTTGGCTAATTTTTCTAAATGGATGTTTGTGCTCAATTTCAAGACGCAAATCCAAACTCGAAGAAAACAAAGTCTAATAAATGGTCAGTGAAGACATTTCACATTTCATTTATTTGACGCCATGCGTTTTCTCCTGTTGGACGTTTTCTCTCGGAATAGCAATGATACCTGATGACGTTTTGTATCAAATTCGCGTCGCGACAGCACAATCCATACACAACACGGCTCCAAAATTAAGAACATTGAACATTGTGTGTCGAGGAACAATATCATATGGCCTTGAATCTTGATAATATCGGCGACCCGTCTGGCCGGACCGGGACAGTGCCGTTTCATGGCATATGCCGTCCCGGCCCCGCGGGGAGAGCTGTGGATATCTCCCCGGGTCAGGGAGATCTAGTGGATACTGAATGTATTGTCTATGTATGTCATTACGCGTGGCAGTTGGCAGGGTAGTGAGGCGCTTCCCCCGAGTTACGCACCCGGCACCTCACGAGACACGCGTGGCCCCACTTCCACAAATTAGCGGTTCAGCTCGGCGGGTGGTACAATGGTACATCCGGCGTGGTGAGGCCGCCTCGACCACTCTCCACTGCCGACCTCACATGGGTCTTAGGGGCGGGGGCCTCAATCTGCGGCCGCCGCCCAATCTTCTGACAGAGCTGTCATGTCTGATCATGCGCCGGGCGGCCCGGTTCACCCGTTTATTTTTGGCAGCGCTGTGGCCGAGTGTAAGTGAGCACAGCGCGGCGACTGGATAAGAGATCACGAGTCGGTTCACTTAAAATAGGTGCACGAGCATTCCTAATCCGCATCGTCCGCATGGGGGCATGTGAATCGACCCGACAGGCCGGCACTCCGCCGTCCCGTCCGGCCGACCGGTCCCTCTCAAGTGGGACCGGTCCCAGGTTTGCCCGGATATGGGGCTTAGGCGCGGGGGCCTCAATCTCGCACATTTGCATCTCTTGCACCTTTAACTGTCCTCTCGCTATGACAGCTTTTTTTTTACAAAACCGCAGGCTAACAGATCCCAGCAATCAACAACCGCGAGGCATCTGATGACGTTAACGGACGTTTTCTCATTGCACTGCAAACGTTAAATCCTTGTTTTGTATTTTTATCCAAGAAATTAATAATCAAGCTTTTAGCAATACAAATTCTAAATTTAACACAGTTATCCACTTGTATTATTTATCACACTATGATATTATCCCGCGCCCCACTGGGGTCTGCGTATAACACGCCCTAATGGGGGGGGGGGGCTGGCTCTTCATAGCCCCCCTCCTAACTCCGAAACTGCCGGGTCGATGGTCAAAAACCAAACGGCGTCTGATAGCCCCGGAAAAAAACTGTCGGAAGATACCTAATTTCATTGACCACGAGGTCACCGATGACGTCACAGATCAGGTCAAAGTAAAAATTAATAGCATTTTGGCTTGTTCACATTTTGGGCTCTGGCCGCCGTCTTACAAGACAGATCAGCTCATTTTTGGTTTACACACTCGTGAACAGATGCTTTAGATACCCTGAGGGTACCAAACTTGTACTTTGATTTTTAGGTCAGGGTCAGGTCATCACAGGTCACGGAAATCTTATGTAATGCGTTGGTCACGTGACACATGTTTTATGGTCCATTTAGGCCATAGATTTTGAATTTGATGTCGTTTGTGTCATTCGAGGTCATTTTCAGTTGAATTTAGCTTAGGTCAGGTCACTTTCAGGTAAAAAATGTCAAATTTTGAAGTTAAAATTTGTCATCAATAAATGTGTCTATTGGATGCAGTTTGAGCTCAGGAACACGATGGTGCTACTTATATTGGTGTGCGATGTCAAATTCGTACTGAAAAATGTATTTGAAAAAAAAATTATTATTGTTTTTTTTTCAATAATGCGTATAACTTGGCTATTTTTGAAGATATTCAGCTTAAAGTTGCTGGGTTATAAGCATGTGGTTTATCTTCCGTTTTTTTTTTCGAAAAGTAAAAAAGTTTTTGAAAAAAATACAAATATAAATTTTGAATTTTATTATATACCTATGATTTACCAAATTTTCAAAATTTTGAAAATCCGAGATAGTAGTTTGATAGCGCAGTCTATTCTGAGTCCTCTCATGCAAAGAAATTGGATCTTTCTTAAAAAAAACTGAGCTCTTGGGAGCGATTGCCGTGGTTCAATGTTTTGCGTCGAAATCGGCCGAACATGACGTCACTATGACGTCATTTCCGGCCAGCCTAGCTATAGTAGGTACGAAGCTCATATTTTGACACAAGGTGTCAAATTGATGCAGCCGAAGGTACTGAAAGTTTGGCGTCGATACGTCAAGCGGTTTGGAAGTTATTGCAGAAAAACGGGAGGGGGGCTATGAATAGCCCCCCCCTCTCCCAATGGGGCGCGGGTTATCGATGCAAATTTCACGTAATCTTTAAACCGATACCAAACCAAGCACCAGCCAGAACCATGCGTAAATACACACAAAAGCGGAGCAAGTCGTGGAATTTAGAGAAAACCAACTAAATGAAAAGCCGGAACTTAAAAAGTTGTGTGAAATATTGTAAATGCAGGCATAAACCAATGCTATAATTCCTGATAGTCATAGAACATGCGTTTGACGGCCATGAAAAACTGTCGAGCGAAATTTCATTCAAGAGACCTCAATGTTACCGCTGACGTCACAGGTCAGGTCAAAGTAAAAAAGATTGACATTTAGCCATGTTTACTCTACGAAGTCTTGATGCCGCCAGGTCACATCAGGCTCATATTTCATTATCACAATCAGAAATGTGTGTCGACGATATCATACGTGGGTACCGAACTTGCGCTTGGTATGTTTCAGGTCAAAGCTAGGTCGGGCTACGTCATAGATTGTCAAGAATTTTTTTAAGGCTGGCATAGGTGATTTCAAATACGTTTCATGGTCCATTTTGGCCATTGAATTTGAAAATAGTGCAGTGTGTGTCGTCCAAAAATGACTGGTTTTAGCAAAGTTCAGGTCATTGTCAAGTCAAAAAGGCCCAATTTTGAAGTTCAAAGTCTTCAGCAAAAAAAAAACTCTAAGTTCCAGTTTAAGATAAGTCACACGACGATATTATTTGTTTGGATGTACGATATTAAAAATGTATTGGAAATTGCAATTGAGTAATTAAAAGCAGATACCTTAGCCGTTCTTGAGGAAATCGTGCAAAAATTGTCTAGGGTAAATCATCGCCTATGTGGTTTAGCACATATGTGCCGTTTATCTACTATACTATTTATTATTATTTATTGTTATTATTAGTGTTATTATTATTATTATTATTATTATTATTATTATTATTATTATTATTATTATTATTATTATTATTATTATTATTATTATTATTACCAGTAAAACGCCTTTTGGGCGAAGAACGAGCGAGCGAGATAGTGAGCCCTGCACGTGCGCAAGGGCGAGAGGGTACTTCCAACGGGCTTGTGCAAAGCACCCTTCTAATCGATCGCTAGTGGTGTGCCAAATTTGAACGCAATCGGCCCAGCCGTTCCTGAGATCTGGAAGCGGCATTCTGCACGTGCGCACGTGCAAACGGGGTCCAAACTGACCTTTGCACGGCACCCTACTAACTGGTCCCCAACCGTGTACCAAATTTGAGCGCAATCGGCCCAGCCGTTTTCGAGATCTGGAAACGCCCCCTGCACGTGCGCACGTGCAGTAGCACCCAAACCGCAACACATGGGAAAGCATTGCCTGGTGGCTGCCGACTTGTATGCCAAGTTTCAGCGAAATCGCCCCAGTTATTATCGAATTATTAAAATGGGAACAAATTTGACACCTCTTATTGTTGTATTTTGCACGTGCACTGGGGGTGACCCACATGCATCGAGAGTATCCTATTTTTGGTAGAAGGGATGCAGCTACCCTACAAAAATTACCGCAAGACAATCGCCCAAGCGGCTGCTGAGATATGAGCCTCTCAAAATCACTACTTTTGCAAAACAGCTTGAACACCCTTGACTTTTCACGTGGCACGTGCCCCGACGGTCACTGAGGTGTATCAAAAGTAGTCAATTACGGGGTAGAAGGAATGGGGCTACCCAGCGAAAAAGACCGCAGGCCAATTGGTCCAGCGGTTGCTGAGATATAAGCCTCTCAAAAGCGTTACAGGCCGGGCCGGGCCGGGCCTGTAACTAACCGTTCCGTTCTATTTCGCAGGTTGTCTTGCCAGCACTCGCAGGAACGTTTCAGCCTTCAAGAGCGGACAGCGTTCAGACTGATGATCTGGCCAGCCCGAATATCACCCTGCCTCCTGTACAGCCTCTGCCGGAGAACTCCAGCTCAGATGTGCGGTGCAGAGCTCGTCTTTTATCGGGCAACAACAGATCTGTGAGTACCGAAATTGTTGCTCAATGGCTCGCGGGCTGCAACATGCAACTCTTCACGGCTGCGGCGTGTCGTATTACGCGCGAAACATGTCGAGCCTCAAAGCAGTGTCAAATGGTTCGGTGATCTTTTCAAAGGATTTTAGGAAGAAGACTGCGTTGTTGTTTAACCATCGTAATTAGTGGGTGGTCTCGAGCTGTAACAATTCGGGTAAATGTATGTACTACATACCTAGGCACATATTATAGTTGCATGTGAAAATATCATGTTGCAGGTAGACCGAATAGTATGGATTCACCTCTGCTGTGTTAGTGACAGGCCTATTTTTACAGGGTGGATTCATAGATCTTTCTGCTGGAGTAATAACAGGAGGATCAAATGGCAGACTAGGAAACAACCTTATGGAATACGCCACCATTTTCGGCATGGGAATCAAGTAAGTAGTTTCGTCAAACATGCACAGAGTCGCAATTTTACACTGTCGTGTTTGACATGTGTCCAGGCACGTTTAATTTACTTCTTGTCTAGGAAAGTTCAACTCGGGGTGTTGAACAGGCACTCAGCTCATGAAGCTGGTTAAAGGGACTATCCCACCTTTAACATGGGGTTTGAGTTGAGATAGCCAAGTTTGCGGCGAGGCTCAGAAACCACTATCTATCTAGGTTACAACCCCCGCGGCCTCTTGGTGTTGAAGAAATTCGTTCCCTTCATTTGAAAATGGGCCTTGTACAAGGCCCTATCTTCAACATGGAGCGACCGTTAGTGTGACGTCACCTCGTTTAGTCATTCTGATTTAAATGGGTTTGTTCGTTGAAAAATCGCTTAAAACTTGGTCTGAACTTTGTTGTGGTGCCTACAGAGTAAGAAGAATCAGCTTTATGACAGTAATGTGGCCTGGGGAAGGAGGTAATTTTGGGCTGTGACGTCACATATTTGAAAGTTTGTGTTTGGAATATGGGAAGCCTAAGACGTTTAATGAAAAATAAATGCCAGAACCGTGTTCCTGGTCATCCAATATATAAAGTCGGGCACAATTTAACTGGTTTTAACCCTATTAGTGGCAGGCTCCTGGCTACCCCCTATTAGTGGCAGGGGGGGGGGGCTGTTTACGACCCCCCCTTGATATCTCGAGATCTAACGGGCCGATTTTCAAAACTCAAACGGCATTCGATTTCGCTCAACGTGATCTACATTTCTAAGAAATAAAAATTAAAAAGTGTCAATAGGGGGGGGGGGTAGAGGGGGGTAAAAACGGGCAAATTGCAGATACATTTTAGACTGTTTATCACGGCCAGGTTTCTGAACCAATCTTAACGCAACTTTTGCCGATCGATAGAGAATGAACCAGGAATTCACATGGATCCTAAAAAATATGCATTTTCAAAAATCATAGGCGGATACAGATCATTGAAATTGGGGGTGCACAAAAAGTATAGTAAATAAGGTTTTTGTTGGTACTGTTTCTAAAAAGGGTGGTAATGGTCTTGTTATGTTACAATTTTCTTATGAGAGAACGACTACAATTGTATTGGTCATGCATAGGCGGTGTCAGGGCACCTATGTTGGAAGGTAAAACATAACCCCCCTTTTTGGACGCCTGGATCCGCCTATTATAGCAAAAACGTGTCAAAAGAGGATGCACAATAACTGTATATGTTATCACATGATACCTTTCATTCACTGTTCGTAAAACTGGTGCAGCATCGTGATCTTCGCCCAAATGACTCGCTTCACGAATAGGACCCCCCAATTCCAAGTGCTCTGGAGCCGCCCCTGGTAAAGTTATGAACTTGAAATTTTCAGGGAATGTGCCCAATTTAGTTTTAGGAAAAGTCAGAAAATTTCAGCATCGTAGCTTCAGCGGTTTTGGAGATATTCCCGAAAAAACCTGAGGGGTGGATAAAAACAACCCCCCTGCCACTTAGAGGGTTAACAACATTTTAGAAGGTGGGATAGTCCCTTTAAATGAGTTCATTTTGCATATCGTTCGATTTAGCAGGCATTTCTGAGTTCGTTGCTCGCTTCCCTCATCCCTGACCCTCTAGCTCAATTTCATCGGGAGTTCTTGACAGAAAACGCAATAATTCCGAAGCGACTAAGGTAGCAACAAGCGACTTATATAGTAAAACAAATCATTTGGTGTTGCATAGAGTGTACGAAGTCACGGCACCAGGTGCTGGACATATTCTTAGATCATATCCGGCGTGAAATCCATAACAGTTTTCAGATTCCTCCCCTTCCCCTCTGGCCTATAATGATGAAGCCACGTGACCGTCCTGACCCTCATGTGACTTACGAAAAATCCGAGACATATGTACAAGTTGTAAGATCTCGGGAGCTTATTACGTTCAGTGTCAGTCCCCTGCGGCAGATTCTCTTGTGTGGTATACACTGAAGGCGTTTCGAGGTTACGACATTTTGGAACCATGCAGAGGTAGTTCACTTATGTTGTGATGTTTCACAATGTTACTATTCACTTATAACAGTGACGTTATCTGACCTGAACATGTGGCTAGTGTCACAAGACTTTTCTTGAATCAAATACGTCAAGTAGCTATGCCAAATGCGAGAAAACCGTCAGGGTGATGTCCCCTAAAGATACCTCGGCCGGCGCGGGGTAAAGGTTGTTTTGCATAGGGGAACTTTAAATTCAGACTTTTCTCACATTTTCAGGGTCATATAATTTGATAAAGGCTATATCTCTTCTCACAGATCGTCTCTCATCGTCTCATAGGCACCTTCACATAACTTGGCCCAGATGGTCCACAACACATGGCCCATTCTTCGTAACTTGAGTGTAACATTCTCTCTCTCAGGTGAATTATTCTGCCTGAATATAGCATAACACCCCGTTTCTTCCCCCAGGTACAATATGACCGCCGTGGCAACACCGTACCTGCTTCGCCGGATAGCGCGAGTTTTTCCACATACATCCATGCCAGTGGTATCGGACGACTGTGTGAAAAACTTCACAACCATTTCTCCAGAAAACTTCGAAGCGATGAACGATACTCAGAGAAGGAAGGGAAAGTGGAATATTTCTTACTACTTGCATCGAATCAGAACTTTCTGGTACTATCGTGAAGATCTTTTTAAGGAATTCCGATTCAGGTATGTCTAGTGAGCTGCTTTTACATTTTATTTACCCTCGCCGGCACAGGCCATTTTGAGTCCTTCGACGGCACAAGGGTACGGTACGGTAGGGGTACGGTAAGGGTACGGTAAAAAAGTGGTACGGTACGACCCCCCCTCGCGTTTGGCCCCTGATTGAGCTAGAGCTTCGCGGAAAAAACGAGCGTGTTGCCCGTCACGAAAGAAAGCCAATGATATCCAATTTTAAGGTCTTAGGTCATCGGTTCACCTTCCAGGTTAGGTCAATGACCCAAAAATCGGGAATATCGGGACCTGTTAGAAAGTCGTAAAGTGTGGCTGCTAATGGGTTTTCCGGGGTGTTGATCACGAATATCGTGTTAGTTTTGATCACAGATGATGTCGTTACGCGTTTAGACCAGGTCGGGTCAGGTCAGGTCAGGTCAACCGGTAGGGGTCGTGACGGGTATTTGTAGTACCTGGCATCCGTCTCTGACAGCTTCGTAACATGTTACGAAGGCACCAAAACTACTTCGTAAATGTTGAAATGGTTGCTAAATTCGAATTCAGTTAAAAAAAAACTAGCCTAGAAACATGTAAAACTCGAAAAAGTGAACCGAGGTCACCAAAGGTCAATGACCTGACCTGACCTTCAGGTGACCTTGACACCCACCCGAATGCATGGGAGCAACATCAAATCACATGTTTGAACGTTTGAAACCACGAAAAGCTTGCAAACGCGCGGCTAATGCGAGCCGACATACGCGGAATCGCGATTCCGGCCAAACATGGTCTCCGAAAGGAGGTCACAGTTCAAAGGTCATTTGGGTCAGGGTCATGAAATTTTTAGGGTAGGTGTAAAATTAGTCAATGCGATGGTACTGAAAGTTTCGTTGCAATCAACCGCTTTTTACGCGAGCTATTTGCGAAAAAGCTTAGGGGGGTTGCATCAACCCCCCCCCCCCCCCTGTGCCGGCGAGGGTTAATTCATTTTCATCATTCATTTCATCATCTTTATTTCAACATCCTTGACGCACACATACAACTGCATACATGGCAATACATGTGAGTAGGACAGGGGAGCAAACTGGAAACCTTGGTGATTACACAGAGACGTACAGGCACATATAGCAGTCATTCAGCCGTTGCATTGTAATTTGTAAGCGTCACAGGTCAATAATCTAATGAGACCCCAGGCGCAACGCAAACACCATTTTGAGCCATTAGCCATCGTAGTGAGTCGGTTAAGCCACAGGAAACTCTAGGAGGTACTAGCCAATTCAGATGACATCATTCAAAGGACATTGATTATCAGAAACACTAGACGTTACGCTCTCTTAAATAAAAACAACGTATATAAACAACTTGAATCTAAACATCAAAGTAAGAAGTTAAATAAATGCAGCAAAATATTGTAATTAAGTACTTGAATCTCAATACTGTACTTCAAGTGTATACGGTACCCATGACGTGACTTGCCTTGGCTAATGTACATTTTGTAACATTTAACCCGCGCCCCGTAGGGCGGTGGGGCCGAAACGGCTCCCCCTGTCCTTTTCCGTCGATAGCTCCTAAACGGCTGGAGATATCGCCACCAAACTTTCAGGACCCTTCCGGGCATCAATTTTACACATTGTGACCAAACATTTTTCCAGAGGCTATGATAGGTTGGCCACAAATGACGTCAGAATGACGCCATGTTCTGCCAGATTTCGACCGAAAAAAGACCTTCGCGAGAAGAGCTGTCAGGCCTACAGGTTTGAAGATACAGAAAAATGATTGAAACATAAAAGGTGTAGAATTGACAGGACTACAAAACTGCTATCTCGGATGTTTGAAATTTTTGAGTTTTGACCCCCGAAATTCAAAAAGCATTTTTTTATATTAGCCAGAAAATCCAAAAAGTTTTTTGAGTTTCGAAAAAACAGAATATATGTGATATAACTTACCGTGTTCTATCTAAATACCAAATTTCAGATCAATATCTTGTTTTTTGACCAAGTTATAGCGAAAAAAAAGTGTTCAAAAATGATGACGTCAAATTTTCAAACTAAATTTTTGGCAACTCTAAACCACGTATGGCATAACAAAGACCGCCATTAGACTCCCCGTGACGAGCTGCATCGAATGGATACCCATTTTATGCAAAAATATCAACTTTGAAATTTGACCTAATTTGACCTGACCTTGACCTGACCTTGACCAAAACGTGACCTAAGCTGGCCCCAAAGGCTGCCTGACCCACATAGTCGCATTTTTCATGTAAAATGGACCATAAAACATGTATCACACGATACTTTCATATTGTGACCCCAGTGACCTGACCTCTGTGACCTGATCTGGGGTCAGTGACCTCAGATAGCGAAATATGTGTTTGACGAACAAAGTCCCATCGATGGTTTTCAATAACTTACCAATTTACTCGATTTCACAACACATTTCTTGAAATGCCTGTGAACGGTGAAAATCTGACCTTTGACCTGACCTGTGACGTCATCGGTTTGACCTAGGTCAATGAAATTTGGTCACAAGGTAGTTAGTTCCCCGATGGGGCTATCGAACGCCGTTTGAATTTTGAAAATCGGCCGGTAAATTTACGAGATCTTAGGGGGGCCGAAACGCCCCCCCCCCCCCCCCGACGGGTGGTAGGGTCCGCCGGTAGCCCTACGGGGCGCGGGTTAACGAATTCGCCTACCGCTTATACATAGCTATGAGCACACGATGTCCACAGGCATGACCTGACGAAGTACGCCAACGTGCGCCTGCACAGGGTGGCGGCCGGCAGGAGTGACGTCACCTTTGTCGGAGTTCATGTTCGAAGGACAGACTTCGTCAAACATATGCAGGTGAAGCCGACGCCTTTTTCATGTGTTCCTGTGCCGCAGAGTACTTGATCGAGGCGGTGTCAGTGCATGGTAGACGTTACTAAGCAAGGGCAACGAGAAAATGAGCGCATTGGCTGTAACGAGACATTTGAAGTTACACTATTTGTGATTTTTGTTAAAGATAATGCTGGCAAAGCTGCAAATAAATATAAGCCCATCTTTTTTTCGTTCGAGTTCCTTTGCTTTGACTGCTTTTAACTGAGGTGGCTTATCATACGATATGTTTTTGCAGAATTTCTTTCACGGTCATCTAGTGAATGCGTCATTCTTTCACTCTGCGATGAGCCTATGCAGGAAGCGGTATAATAACCCAGCATTCATCGTGACCAGCGATGACAAACAATGGTGCAGGTAAGCATGTAAGCAGAAAAAACTGTCTTGATTTGCCCGGGTCGTTGGCTGATAAGCCGATGTCTTTGCCAAGTATGTTCATCCTATACCCAGCTGGATTTATGGATAGATGGAATGTACCTGATATTCACACTAGCCGTTTTCACGATGACCATCTGGTAAATATTTGGTGCACATTAGGTGGAGATTTGGTGCAGATTTGGTCAAATTGGGCTCAGTGTGTTTCCTAAAAGTTATCAGTGCGGGCTGCTCAGATGCTTATGCCTTATATACCTTATTTTCGAATTATCAGATTTTATTAGCGATTATAACACTAAAATAAATTCATGATGCGAAATGTCAATCATAAAAAACATACGATATGTAATGTAATAGGGAGTTGGTGCAGCTCTCGTCAAATTAGGTGCATAATCACAGTTAGCCCGGAGTAAAAACGGCTACTGCCAGATATTTAGAAATAAACGTTTATGCACCATGAAGCATAGTTACATTTTTCATTTCTTAGAAATTTAGTCCAAATGGTTGAATAGTTGACAATGTACATTAGTGCCCCCCGCGCCCTACTGGGGCCTGTGTATAACACGCCCTACTGGGGGGGGGGGGGGGCGTGTTATACACAGGCCCCAGTAGGGCGCTTGTATCCCCCTCTTAACTCCGAAACTACTGGGCCGATCGTCAAAATTCAAACGGCATCTGATAGCCCCGGAAAAACTGTCGAACGAAACCTAATTTCATTGACCTCGAGGTCACCGATGACGTCACAGGTCAGGTCAAAGTAAAAGTTATCGATATTTGGCTTGTTCACATTTTGGGCTCTGGCTGCCGCCTTACAAGTCAGATCAGGCTGATTTTTGGTTTACACACTCGTGAACAGATGCTTTAGATACCCTGAGAGTATAAAACTTGTACTTTGTTTTTCAGGTCAGGATCAGGTCATCATAGGTCACGGAAATCTTATGTCATAAGTCGGTCACGTGACACATGTTTTGTGGTCCATTTAGGCCATATATTTCGAATTCGGTGTCGCCTGTGTCATTAGAGGCCATTTTCATCTGAATATAGCTGAGGTCAGGTCACTTTCAGGTCAAAAAGGTCAAATTTCAAAGTTAAAATTTTTCAACAAAATATATCTATCGGATGCAGTTTGAGCTCAGGAACACGATGCTGCTATTTATATTGGTTAAGATGTCAAATTCGTACAGAAAATTGATTAAAAAAATAAAATTGTGAAATTTTTGCTTTAACCCTAGAACGCCTAGGTTGTATCACCCCCCCCCTGAGGTTTTTTCGAAGTGCACGCTAAACGGCTTGTCGTAGCGGGCTGAAATTTTCAATACCCTCTGGGGCAACCTTTGCGCATCTTTTGCCGAAAAAAATTGATCGGGTCATGTCAGGTCACGAAGTTATGACGTCATAAGAGGTACAGCCTCCGGCCGGATTTTCACAAACTGAGTGCCAACGCCCGAGGTTTCCTGCCGGTGGTACGGACATCGCGGTTGATGGATCGTGATGAAACTTCCCATGCATGTTGGGGCAGGTATTGGCTATCATATGGTATAAGAAATTTGACCGGGTCAGGTCAGGTCACGGAGCTATGACGTCACAAGAGGAACAGCGTCCGGTACTATTTTTGAAAAGCGCCCGAACCACTATTTTGCTAATTCTTGTCACCTCAATGGGAATATGCAGCAATATTAGCTTATATAGGGAGCAAATGGACCTCCCAAATCCAAAAATACAATCAGATTTCAAAAATTTAAATTTTGATTTTTCGAATTTCTGCCG